CTGAAGCTCTTTCCACACTCAAGGCATTTATATGGTTTCTCTCCTGTGTGAATTCTTTGATGGGAAGTTAGGGCACCTTTCTCCCCAAAGCTTTTTCCACACTCCAGGCATTTATAAGGTTTTTCCCCTGTGTGAATTCTTTGATGAGAATTTAGATTATCTATCCGTCCAAAGCTTTTCCCACACTCCATGCATTTATATGGTTTCTCCCCTGTGTGGATTCTTTGATGAAAAATAAGGTATGTACTCTGACGGAAGCTTTTCCCACACTGCAGACATTTGTATGGTTTCTCCCCTGTGTGAACTCTTTGATGAGAAGTAAGGTTGTCTTTCCGCCCAAAGCATTTTCCACATTCCAGGCATTTGTGTGGTTTCTCCCCTGTGTGGATTCTTTGATGGGAAATTAGGTAGGAACTCCGACTAAAACTTTTTCCACATTCCAGGCATTTGTGTGGTTTCTGCCCTGTGTGAATTCTTTCATGGGAAGTACGGTTGCCAGTCTGACTAGAACTTTTTCCACACTCCAAGCATTTAAATATTTTCTTTCTGTTGTGGGGGTTCAAATGCATATTAATGTCTGATGTTTCAAGAAATGTTTCCCCACTTGCTGGGCACTCATTCCTATTCTCTCCTTGGTATGATTTTTGTAGTGCAATATTGTGAGAATCACCACCCTGTAAAAGACCAGAATTAGTTATTGTTTGAAGAGGGTGCTTTGCTCCTTCCTTCCTTAGCACATCACAAAATTCATCACTCATTTTCACATCTGGATATACATCTTCTTTGTCCATCACTGGTTGCTCTTTCATTTTATTATCTGCCGACTCCCACACGCCTCCTGCTCAAAGAAAGAGAAGGGTGGCATGAACACACAAAAAGAAATGAAACCCGAAATTATGGAATGAAATTAACTGCTGTAGAAAGGCAGGAATTTTACTCATTTAAAACATTTCCATGCCACCTTTCCACCCAATTCTGGGCCCCCAAGACACTGAACATCAAAATATTAAAGCATTTTAAACATTAAGACATCGAAGAAAGGAAGAATGGGGAGGGGGAATAGTCAATTTAACATTAAACCTCAGTTTAGCCAAGCTCAAGGGATACCAGTTGGATAGATGACTACTCCTGCTTGTAAGGCCCATGAAATAAAAAAGATTTTTAAAAATCATTTCACAGAATGTGTAAAACAGAATTGTTTAAGAAGGGATTTTTATAAAGGGAATATAAATTTTAACCTCTGAAATGTTTTAGGTAGTTTTACAGCATTGTGTACTGTAAGTATTACTCTGTTTTATTGCACAGCTTTCTTATTTTTGAAGCCAAATAAAAAAGATTTTTTTAATCATTTCACAGAATGTGTAAAACAGAATTGTTTAAGAAGGCATTTTTATAAAAAGAATAGTGTTGTAATTTTAACCTCAGAAATGTTTTAGGCAGTTTACAGCATTGTGTACTGTAAGTATATTCTGTTTTATTGCACTGCTTTCTTATTTTTGAAGCCACCTTTCCAGCCCCCTAGCACTTCCACAGTTTTCTCCCGGTATGAATTCTTTGATAAGAAATATGCCTTCATCTACTGTGACTGAAACTGTTTCCACAGTCCAGCCGTTATTATGGTTTCTCACCTGTGTGAATTCTTTGATAGAAAGTCAGAGCATCTTTCTTTCCAATACTTTTTCCACACTCCAGGCACTTATATGGTTTTTTGCCTGTGTGGGTTCTTTGATGGGAAATTAGATTATCTTTCCGTCCAAAGCTTTTTCCACACTCCAAACACCTATATGGTTTTTCTCCTGTGTGAATTCTTTGATGGGAAGTAAGGTTTGCACTTCGATGGAAGCCTTTTCCACATTCCAGGCATTTATATATTTTCTCCCCTGTGTGAATTCTTTGATGGGAAGTAAGGTTTCCACTGTGACTGAAGCTTTTTCCACACACCAGGCATTTGTATGGTTTCTCCCCTGTGTGAATTCTTTGATGGGAAACTAGTTCATCCTTCCGTCCAAAGCTTTTCCCACACTTCAGGCATTTATATGATTTCTCTCCTGTGTGAATTCTTTGATGGTAAGTTAGGCTATACTTCCGCCCAAAGCTTTTTCCACACTTCAGGCATTTATATGGTTTCTTTCCTGTGTGAATTCTTTGATGGGTAGTAAGGCTTCCACTGTGTTTGAAGCTTTTTCCACACTCCAGGCATTTATATTTTTTCTCCCCTGTATGAATTCTTTGATGGGAAGTAAGGTTTCCACTTTGAGTGAAGCTTTTCCCACATTCCAGACATTTATATTTTTTCTCCCCTGTGTGAATTCTTTGATGGGAATAAAGGTGTGCAGTCTGACTAAAGGCTTTCCCACATTCCAAGCATTTATATGGTTTCTCCCCTGTGTGAGTTCTTTGATGGGAAGTTAGCTTATCCTTTCGCCCAAAGATTTTTCCACACTCTGGGCATTTAAATATTTTCTTTCTTTTATGGGTATTCCGTTGCATATAAAGGTCTGATTTTTCAGGAAAAATTTCCCCACTTGCAGGGCACTTATTCCTATTGTTTCCTTCATATAACTTTTGAAGTAGTGGAATCTCATGAGTGTCATCACCCTGTAAAAGACCAGAATTTCCCCTCCCTTTATGTTGCTGTTTCCCCTCCTCCTTCCTCAGTGCATCACAATACTTAATGTTTTGTTTCCAATCTGGATATGCATCTTTTTTCTCCATCTCTGGATGACCTTTCCTTTTTTCTGCTGACTCCCACACACCTGCTGAAAAAAAGAGAAAACTGACATAAAGATACTGGGGGGAAATGGAGCCCACAATTAAAGACTAAAATAAAGTAATTGCTGTCTGAAATGCAAGAATTTAAAGCTGTGGTGTCTGAATGCACTTTCAAAAGTATTTTGGGGGGAATGTGATTCTTATTGACCAGTTCCTAGTTTGTACCAACTAAACAGGGAATAGCATTTTACTGGGACAGCTATTCTCACAGAGATCCTTTTCTGGCCTTCCTGCAAATCAGAAGAGCTGCCTCAAAATTCAGCCACAAGCCAGTGAGTTTGTCCTCAAGCAATGATGCAGGTCACAGATTGCTTGATCATTGGCTCTTCCCAGTTCCATGGGGGAATGACAGAACTATGGCAGAGCTAAAAAGGCAGTGTGGGTTTTCTGCCTGTGGTGTCTGGCCCACAAATTTCCCCCCTATCGTAACAGGGATGGCCCATCCTGCCATCCTCAATAGGGTGTTGCAGAAACTAATGTTAATAACACATGGTACGTAGAATGTACTTATTATTTTAGCCTGATTCAATATAGTTCAGTATAAAGGTAAAGGTAAAGGTTCCCTTGCTCGAAAGCCAGTCGAATCCGACTGTAGGGTTGTGGTGCTCATCTCCGTTTCAAAGCCGAAGAGCCAGTGCTGTCCAAAGACGTTTCCGTGGTCATGTGGCCGGCATGACTAAACACCAAGGCGCACGGAACGTTGTGACTTTCCCACCGAAGTTGTTCCAATTTATCTACTTGCAATTTCTTGCTTTCGAACGGCTAGGTTGGCAGGAGCTGGAACTAGAGATGGGAGCTCACTCCATCATGCGGCACCCAGGTCTCGAACTGCTGAACTACCGACCTTCCACAGCCTGCAGTTCAGCGTCTTAACCACTTGAGCCACTGCAGCTCCTATACATCCGACTGTAATTTCCTACAACTGCTCCACGCAGACATTTCTCTTTCTAACTGGCTTAAAGCAGTTAGTAGCCTTAAGAAGGTTATTCGGCAAACACAAACCAGCTCTGATAACCATTGAAGCAGCTTTCAAGAATAGCTGTTTGTCTGCCATCATAAAGCTCTACAACTGGCCCTCACAGATAGAAACAGATGACTGAGCTTTTTCACACACTTACTCTAGATACACCCCCAGCACCGTATGATGTCTGAAATTCTCAGATCTTGACTCAGTCATGGTGCCTTTCTTGCATATGAAAGAGACTAAGAATTTGGATTTATTCTAAACTGTGCTCAGCCTGCTCACCAATCCTACAGCTTACTGGGTTCACAATATTTAAGGGTAGTCTGAATACTGAATAAGCAGTTCTGCCTCCTGAAATGAGTGCCCTGAAAGAGCAGCAACAATACCAGGTGAAGCAACAGAGATCCTCTTTTGTTTTCTTTTTTGGCAAACTATAGGCAAAATCGGATGTATTTCTCCTCCATGGGGCTTACTTGGTTCTCTTACCCTCACAAAAGCCCTGTCAGATAGGTCCGGCTGAGAACATGTGCCTGGCCCTAGGCCACCCAGCAAGTCCCGATGCTGGATTGGGGGTTCGAACCTGGTCTCATAGCTCCTACATCTTTTCTTTTCTTTTTTGGGTGGGTGGCAAAATCAGATGTGGGGCTTACTTGGTTCTCTTATCCTCACAAAAGCCCTGTCAGATAGGTCTGGGTGAGAACGTGTGCCTGGCCCTAGGCCACCCAGCAAGCCCCGACGCTGGATTCGGGGTTCGAACCTGGTCTCATAGCTCCTAGTCAGACAATCTAACCACTACACCACATGGGTTCTGACAGCTCAGCAAAGTTCCTAAACTCCCCGTCCTTGTTTTGTGAAAGATGAGATAACTTTCCACCCTCCCTATGGGGACTGAATCATTCTCCTGTCCTCCTTTTATCCACACAACAGCAACCCTGTGAGGTAGGTTAGGCTCTGTGTGTATGTGATTGAGTTACATTTAGTTTCTGACGAGGTTTTGTTTTTGCTTTCTTGCAGGGTGGGGTGAGGTTCTGACCAATGTTCCCTCTAAGCTGTGATTTCTTGTGAGCAACAATTCTACTTTGTGAACTACTGGCTTTATAGTTGTGAGCGAGATGAGGTTTTGCTTTTGCTTTTTTGCAGGGTGGGGTGAGGTTCTGATACCAAAGTTCCCTCTAAGCTGCGGAGTCTTGTGAGCAAAAATTCTACTTTGTGAGCTACTGGCATTAAAAGTTGTGAGTGAATGATTTGGCTGCTGCATAAATTAGTTTGCTCTTCAGCCATGCTTCCGGAGCTAAGACAAAAACGTGTGAGCCGTAGGCTGAAGAACTGTCAGCTGGCTCACACTAACTCAGCTTAGAGGGAACACTGGTTCTGACCACAGACAGATGGACAGATGCCTCCTTTTATTGGTATAGATCCTCAAGCTGTACCTTTTAAAAATAATTTATTTAAATTAGCTATATACCTGCCTTTCTCTTGGGTGGATTAGAACTACAGATAGGTAGCAAAGATATATATATTTAAAAGCCCTGTGCTACATTCTATTCAAGCACTTTTGATGCAAAGCAACTATGAGGGAAAACCTATTGTGAGACAAAAGAGATGTCTCAGTAGAATCTGAGGTCAGACTATTCTGCGTCAGAAAGATGAGACCCTGAAATCCACCCGCCCAGAGCTTCCAGACATGGGGGAGTCCCACTACAGACCAAGGCACCTACCTGCCAATCCTCCCACTTCATCAAAGCCATGACAAAAGAGCTCGTCTTCGATCCAGGCTATGAGGTCAGGTTTGGCAATCACAGGTCCTTTAGGGGGAGAAAAAAAACACACAATTATGGCTCTTCTGTTTGCACATAAATATTCAGCACAGATACTGACAGCGTGGAACAAAACCAGATCAAATAAAGATCATCCACCTGGCCTTTGTAGTTATCTGTTCTTATAGATAGCTTCAAGAGGGGATTGGATAAACATCCGGAGCAGAGGTCCATCAGTGGCTCTTAGCCACAACGTACAGATGTAACACTATGTCTGGGGCAGTGATGCTCTGTCTTCTTGGGGGGCAACAGTGGGGGGGGGCTTTTGGAATTCTGGCCCGACTGGTGGACCTCCTGATGGCCCCTGATGGCTCCTGATGGTGTGACACAGAGTGTTGGACTGGATGGGCCACTGACCTCAACAGACATCTCACAGGGTGTCTGTTGTGGGGAGGGGAAGGGAAAGGAGGTTGTAAGCCACTCTGAGACTCCGAATGAAGGGCGGAGTATATATCCAATAAACTCTCCTTCTCTTCTTCTTCTGATCCAGCATGGCTTCTCTTATGTTCTTATGTCCAGTGCTTCCCCAGCTGGGACCTAAGCAACAAAAGAAATGGAAGGGAAACGAGAGGTGTTCTTATCCTAAGACCCCCTCATACCACACACACCACAGAAAACAGGCGGTGGAGCTCCCCTGGATCTCAGGGGAAGGCCAGGGGGAAAGGTTAAGTGAGGCAGGTTAAGCTGAGAGTATGCAACTGAGCCACAGCCACCCAGCTCCTACCTTTATTTTCTGATGAGCTTTTTAATTTTTTTAGCATAGTGGGGTGGGGTGGGGTTCTATAAAACCAGAGGGGGAGAGGCCTGATTCCCATGGCAACAGCACCACACTTTAATCAAGGCCCTTATTGTTGTGGCTTTCCCAGGTTACCCTGGCTATGATTAATGACCAGCATTTTGTCCATAATGACAATAGTTAGGCATTTTTATGCCTCCCGAAATGTCCCCAATCACACAGACTGTCCCAGAAAGCTCATCAAGTACACAAGCATTGCCTCCCCCATTAAGATTCCCACGGGGATGACACTAGTTACCTTGCTCACCTTACAAGGACTCTGGCCAATGGTGTCGGCCACTGAGGTGCCTCACAAGAGGCCCTGATACCTCCTTTTTGCAATCAGCTGGCAGGCGTTGGGGAGAGAAATGTTGGGGAAGGTCTCTCCATGCACCACTATTTTCTGCTAGTTTTCTTCCCTGGACCTTCCTCTGCCACTGACATGCTACGAGAGTCAGGTCCATGACCTCATTTCTCCCATTCAACTATACTTCCCCCAGACCTTACCTGTACATCCATCCTTCCTCTCTCACTTTGTATCTCTGACCCCCTTCTCAGCACAGACAAACAAAGGCCCAGACAGAAGGGAAATACCTGCCCCTTCCTCTCTAAACGAAGCACCCCTTAGCATTTCTTCAGATGCCCTCTCATGAGGTCCGGACACAGGACTGCTAGGCAGGGGCTTTCCTCTCTGCAAGGAGAAGCTCAAAGCCTTTCCATATTTGTATACAGAGTAGAAGAGTCCAACCAACAGGCTATGTCCATCCTCAACAGTAACTTCCTCACAGTGCACGGAGAAGTAGTCATAGTTACACCTCACAGCACTGAGGAGAGAGTCCAGGAGAAATGGTTCCTCACCCAGAGAGGTCACATTCCCAAAATTCTCCAGCATGACTTCCTTGTACAGAGCTCTCTGAGGTGGGCTCAGCAAGGTCCACTCCCCTTTGGTGAAATAAACAGCTACCTCTTCAAAGGACACCAGAGCCTGGAAAAGGAAGAAGAAAGCACTTCTTTATTTTACTGGAAAATGGGTTCATAGTGTGACATTCATTTGCCACCTGCACTGATCTCCTTCTGGGGAAGAGGCAAAGACTCTTTCGTTTTCACAGGACCTTTGAATAAAATGTTTTGAGTACTCCTGTCTGATGATGTTCATGCTGCCATGGTTCTGGTTTATATGTTTTGGGGCATCAGATTCATGCAGGTCTATCTGTGGCTACCAGCCATGGGGACTGAG